AATCCGAATACCGTATAACGAATACTGTATACCAGTGTGCTGTTCGGTTTTAGTGTAGTCCTCTTTATAAGCCTCCAGGTCCTACAATAATTGTCACAATTAATGTAGGGCCATAATTATTGGAGGTCAGCATTATTGGAGGATAGAGGGTACAATTATTGGTACACCATTATTGGTGTGAATGGGGTGATTCTGGAAGGGTAGTTGGATGCATATATACTCTGGTGTGTCACTTCATCATCATCATTGTGTCATCATTTTATTTTTCAATGACCAATGCAAGTTTTTTATACTGTTCTTTTCTACAAACACGTTTCCGCTATGCTGACACTATGCCTTTCTAGCAAGGTGAATAGTGTCTGGAGCTTGAATTGAATTTCTGGATGGATGATGGCCTCTTCGTTGGCAGATTACAGAGGCCACCATCCACAAGCTTGTCTCAAGGCATCTATGAGCGAAATAGATATGAATTTTGATTTATACCACTTGCAAGAGCATATGGAAAATAATGTTTGTGGATCAGCGTATGTTTCGGGCAAATCATAAAGCACACTAGTTATGGCTGGGTCGTCAGAAGTACCACGTGCAACCTTATCGCCTTACCTGCAGCTTGACATTTTTCACCCTAGATTATGGAGCCACATGCGCGCCACTGAATTTCAATTCTGGTGTGCAATAAATCATGATGCCAACACCATCCCTAGATTTTATTATTGATGAGTATGGCAGACAACATGGCCTGGTTCGAGGGAATCATTCGCAAATCCCTTCTGCTGACCTGTTCGCGCGTTTCGCCAGTCCACGTGACGTAACCAGCGGGACAGCTTGACGCGCTTATTCCTCTTGTTGACTTGGCGCAAATCAGAGAATCCACGAATCACGGCTATAGCGGGAGTTGAAAGGGTCTCGCTGATGTGAGCTTCACGAATATGACATGGGTACCTAAACCTTCCAGCGTGGCATCCGCGACCTCTGGTTTGGTCCCTCGTTAGCCATGCTGGCTTGCACGTGCTTTGTGGCTCTTCGCGATTGTCGTGCGCTTTAATCCACCTCCACGATAGCCTTCTGTTGGCCGAAAGAACAACTTGGGAAAGAAGGGACAGAGAATCAGGGATCCACCAAAACCCTAGCTATCCATGTGCTCCAGCCAGCCTCCTGTTCCAGGCGGAGTCTGTTCCTCACGCACGCAACCTCCGCCGCCTTCGTCACACGCCCTCAGCCCAAAAGTTCCCTCCCCTCCGCTTTTCCACCCCTCCTTCCCCCAACGCCCTTCCCCCTGCCCCTCACTCTCAAGTTGCCGGGGGAGCTGGGGTATTTTTCTACCCAGCCAGCCCCACCCACCCAGCCCAACTCGGACTCCACACCGCGAGCACCATTGCGCAGAATGGTGTCACACACACCCTCACAACTGTCACCCAATCCATTCTCAGGCCATTGCCCGGTCACTTTCACCGATCGCACAAACCCTCTTTCTCCTGAACCCCTTTTCCGTTACAGGCACAAGCAACGCATGTAGAGCTATTCTAACAAGCCTCTTAGAGAATCTAAGATTTCCGACTCCTCGACTGCTGGACCCCTCGGACTTGTGACAGCAACTTGCCTTGGGAGAGCCAACTTCTCCCACTTCCCTTGATTCTGTCCCTCCCATCCCTGCGTCATTAATTGCCTCCCTCTCTAACCGATCCTTGAAAGGCTGCTCTGGCGATTCCGTTCTCTAGGAGGTGTTATGTTCTTACGACCAAATGTGTCTGTCGTTAGGCCTAACGCCCTTTCGGCAGTCAGAAATATCATTTCACGTGCCTAAAAATCCATCAGGCGATAATACCACGTGGTTGCGCTTTATCTAAAATCATGGTCGGCATGTCGCCTCTACCCTTTTCGCCATCTCCCTCCCATAAGGCCTCCTGGATTGGTAGTAATTGTCCAACATGTTCCAAGTTGGTACAAAACGAAGATCAGGCTATTATTAAGACCAGTCCACTAAACTCGCCTAGAAGTACAATGCCACCACCAGCGAAGAAGAAGAGCAACCCTCTCGCTTTAACGATCTCGCGGTTATTCAAGAAGTCAGCTGCAATCCCTCTGTCTCCTCCTGGTTCTGAGATGCCGGAAGGCAGGGTAGAGACAGCGATTAACGAGCTTTTGAACGGCAGTAGTTGGAGCAAGGACGATGAAGAGCAGCTGAGGATCCACTTCAAGTCCCTCCCCCCTCGGTACGTCTTAGGTTACAAGTGCTTGCTTCCACGATCCACGATCTGCTGTAGTTCATGTCATAGTCCTGTAGGTGATTGTTTGTTTGTTTCGTTTATTCCCTGCTAATCAACGTGCTTTTCCATCTCTCCCTATGTTTGTTTCTGGCAGGTACGCAGCCATGGGTTACTCTTCCGACGCAGTGAGGAGCCACATGGGTCTGCTTAAAGAAGCATCAGGCCTGAAGGAGGGAATACCGGCAATTCGATTGGACGTGAACAACGGCGAGCTTGACGCTTTCATGGAGGACGAGAGCGAAACGGATGATTCCTTCTCATCGGCCGGCGGTATTTCGCTCTCGTCGTGCCTCGAGGATTCGTTATCGTCCAGCCGGACCGAGGTCACGTTCGCATGCAGCACCCATGTCTGTCGCAGCAACATCTCTTCGACGTTTCACAGATCTGGCATCCGAGTTTTCGGAATTTACACGTATGACACAGCCGCGGGTGCAACTCTCGGTCATTTCTACATCCGAGCGTCCATTTCTCACGTCTCGAAGAAGCAGATTGAGGATGTTCTTGCGTCGGCTATCAAAAGACCTCCCAAAGGCCTCGGAATCCAGGAAACACTGTCCAATTTCATGAGCAAGGCGAGTCCGAGACACAGCAGCTTCGTCGATGGAGACAACAGTCAGAGGTCCAATTTGGGCTCCGTCCCTTCGTCACCTTCTCCGAGCTTCACTTCCAAGCAGGGTTCGCAGTCCGGAAAGGATATGCTGGAAGTGCTGCTGTGCGAGAAGGGAGCGATGAAGAAGAAGCTTGGTAACTTTATTCTTGACCCGCTTCGTCTGTCCATGGGACCGGTGATTGCTGTCGGAGCGTCAGGCGAAGTCAGGAAGGGGACGTACGACGGAGAAACGGTCGCTGTTAAAGTGCTGAAAGGGGAGGGTAAAGACCCGTACGCGAATGTCGCGGAGTTTCGCCGGGAGGTGGTAACCCTAATGTCTTGCGGCCAGTGTCCGCAGCTTTTGAAGTTCCTCGGTGTCTGCATCGACTTTCGGCAACGGATCTGCATTGTTACAAAGTTCATGGAGGGAGGGACTCTGAACGACCTGCTCAGGCGACGCCAGGGAAAAAGTTTGTCACTCAACGATGCAGTGAACGTCGCGCGCGACGTCGCACAAGCCATGGCGTTTCTTCACAAGAACGGAATGATTCACCGCGATCTGAAATCGGCGAATATTCTCTTAGATAAGGAGGGTCACGCAGTGGTGGGAGATTTCGGCGTGGCTAGACTAAAAGGAGAGCGAGGGGAGATGACCAAGGAAGTCGGAACTTACAGATGGATGGCGCCTGAAGCCTTTGGCACGAGTCCATGGCCGGTCACCCACAAAGCCGACGTCTACAGTTTCGGAATCGTTCTGTGGGAAGTTTTAACAGGGGGAGTGCCGTTTGCTGATTATTCCCCGCTACAAGCTGCTGTGGCTGTTGCTCTTAACGGAGCGCGTCCGACTATTCCGGAATCGCTACCGGAATCGCTTCGCTCGCTGATTCAAAGGTGCTGGGACAAGACGCCCAAGGAAAGACCAGAGTTCAGCGAAATTTTGACCGAGCTTGACCGGATTGCTAAGGAGATTCAGCAGCAGTAAGAGTCTTCCTTGGCTAAACCGGCCATGGTCAACCAATTTTGAGGCAGGGCCATCCAGATTTTCCCTTCCTGGTTGAGCCCGTCTTTTCATTTTCAGTGTACAGCTCCTCTTGTCATATGGGACCAGCTTTTCATGTGCAGGTGTTACAGCAGCTCAGCTGTACCGTAACTCCCCCAATTTTGTAGGAATCATGGTGTTTGAAGAAGTATTCAGCGTCCCCCAACCAGGAACTGGTGTACCACGCTGATGCTAACATGTGATTTATGAGGCTTGTCAAGTTTTGCAAAGTCAACATTGCTACGGTAATGATCCGTACAGTGCTTTAAATCTTAACTTGTGCTGGTAGAAATGCATCATGGTCATGCTAGGCACAAGGATGTGGAAGTGTACTCATCATGAGCTAAGGGCGCGTAACTTTTTCCATTTTAGGCCAATGTCCGGACGGAGCCCCCAAAACGTCCGAACGGAGCTCCGTCCGGACGGTTGGGAATGTGGTTCGGACGATGAAGCGTCCGTACCACAATTGTGACACTTTTTTGCAGTTTCGAAATTTGAAATTCGTACGAAATAGTAACGAGCATAACTCACCTCGCCAGCACATCGCTCAGTTCGCAAGCATGCATTTGCGGCTCGGTAATGTTTGAACTTTCCAACCACTTTGTCCTCTTGCTCGCGCTTCTGTGAGTACAACACACAAACAAATTGAAAGTTGGAGTGGGAAATTTGATTCTGAAAAATGTGTCTCGCGCACCAATGACGTTGCAGGGGTTCCGGACGGTCCGAAATGCTGTCCGGACGGTGTCAGTAGCGTAGAACGGACGATGAACTGACAGAAAAGTGTCAGACTTCGTACGGACGATCGCGACGTCGCGGGAGGACTTGCGAACTTTTTGACGAACCCTGACGAATATAGTAGCCTTACAAAAGTCCGGACGGGGCCTCCGTCCGGACGATGAAAAGCGAAAAATTTACGCGCCCTAAGAGACCAACCGAATGTTTTTTAATCTCAGATAGGATGATAGGATGCTACTGTACTCATCATTAGCTAAGAGACCTACCGAAGGTTTTTTACAACTCACATTTCTTGGCTATTTGCTCCAAATGGTGTGTCAACACTGAAAACATAACAGCAGCTCCTCTAATCAATGTGCCACCACAAACATCATTGCAACCCATACACATCCACCCGCATTGCATCCCCACCAGCAAACAGCAGCCGCCGTCCATGTGCCCACTTGATATCATGATACCGCCCGGGCTGCCGCCCATCCTGGAACCCCCCTGCCAGCCTGGCACCGCCCCCTCCACTCGGCCCCACACTGCCGCTCAAATCAGCCAAGTAAAGCCCCCGCACAGTGCTCACAGCGACGACACCTGGCAGCATGCTACTGGCCAGCTTCAGAATCGGGGATTCGTCCAGGTTCAGCGAACCAAGCGGCGGGGAGTTCCCGAGGGAGTGCAGGGAGCGCAGGTCCCAGAGCTTCAGGTAACCGTCCATGCCGCCAGATGCGATAGTAACAGATGCAGGGCATGCGTCCAATGCGGTTACCATGCCCGCATGTGCCTGGGGTCGACCCGAGGGGGAGGGGGAGCCAAGCAGAGCTGGGGGGGGGGAGGGAAGGAGAAGGGGGGGAAGAGCAGGGAGGGGGGGAGAGTAGGAGGGGGGAGTGGGGAGAAAGAGGAATGGGGCGAGTAGAAGGAGAAAGTGGGAGTGAGCACACCATTTTGCTGCCATGACTTTACTCGGTAACGACTAGTTCTTAGATAAGTGTGACAAGTGTGTATTACAAAAGAGGGGGGCGCGGGGGGTTCACTTGTACGCACAGACAGCGGTGGCGAATGGTTGCATCCCAAGAGGTGAATGGGTGATGATTAGTGGGTGAGAAAGTGCAACTCGATTGAATCATATGGCGGTGAATTACACGTACCAACAGCGTTGGAGGCGCGGCGGTCCCAGAGGCGAATGGTGGCGTCCCGAGAGGCAGAGAGGAAGAGGTTGGGGTTGGGGGGGAAGACTGTGAGACACGTGATCAGGTCCTGTGAGGGGCAAAGAAGGGAGCAAGAAACACGGGGGGAAGGGGCGAGACGAGGGGGAGGGAGGTTGACTTTACGGATGATCGGTAGGCGGCAGAGAGGAAGAGAGGAAGAGAGGTAAAGAGAGAGGAAAGCCTGTCAGTGGTTGGCCCACCTCGTGCTCCGTGTATTGCCTGATGGGTTGCAGGCTGGAAAAGGGCACCCCCGTGAGGTGCATTCTATCCATACCACACCATCTCTATCTTGCACCCACCTCGTGCTCCGTGTACTGTCGGACGGGGTGCAGGCTGGAGAGGGAAGCAAGTTGCAAGGAAGCGTGTACCATGTTAGAGTCCCTCATACAAGGAAGCGTGTACCATGTTAGAGTCCCTCATACAAGGAAGCGTGTACCATGTTAGAATCCCTCATACAAGGAAGCGTGTACCATGTTAGAATCCCTCATACAAGGAAGCGTGTACCATGTTAGAATCCCTCATACAAGGAAGCGTGTCCCATGTTAGAATCCCTCATACAAGGAAGCGTGTACCATGTTAGAATCCCTCATACCAGACCGGCTCTATCTTGACCAGCTCTCTTCTCTTGCACGCACCTCATGCTCCGTGTATTGCCTGACAGGGTGCAGGCTGGAAAAGGGCGCCCCTGCCAGGTGAGCAAGACGAGAGGAACGCTGTACCAACACCCACAAGCTGATTCTCACCTCATGCTCCGTGTATTGCCTGACAGGGTGCAGGCTGGAAAAGGGCGCCCCTGCCAGGTCGTAGCAGCAGATGCGGTCGCGCGGCGAGGCAGCAGAGCCGTCGGATGGAGCCATGCTCTCGGCTGTGATGAACGCCAGGTCTGGGTGGATTCCTATTGCCTGGTGTTGGGATGTGGCAGTGTGGAAAAGTGTATGTGTGTGGGTGAGAGGGAAAGTGATGCGTGCATGCATGGAGCCATGCTCTTGGCTGTGATGAAGGCCAGGTCTGGATGGATGCCAATTGCCTGGCGAGCAGGGATGTTGGGGGGAGAGCAGAGCAATTTTGTAATTAGGTGGAGGGGAGGGATGTGGGTAGGGACGTTCCACCAGGATATAAGCACACTTCTCAACAAGCACACCTCTTTACAAGCACACCTCTTTACAAGCAGATTCTTTGACAAGAACACCTCGTTACAAGCCCACCTTGATACACGATATCACACTTGTCTGATTGCGATCCAGCCGCCCCGTCACTTGCCACCCTCCCCCTCCCCCTCCGCCCGCTCCTCCTGTCACTCCCCCTGCCCCCTCGTCCCCTGTGAGTTGCAGGATGCAAGGGGCAACGGGGTTGGCGGCTGCTTGACCCTCGCTCATGTCGTCCTGGGGGCAGCAGGGAAGTGGGTAAACAGAGGAAAGGGAATGAGATGTTTGTCCTACGGCCAACACTTGCCACCTTTCTGTCCCCTCTTCCTCTGCCCCTGCCCCCTCGTCCCCTGTGAGTTGCAGGATGCAAGGGGCAACGGGGTTGGAGGCTGCTTGACCCTCGCTCATATCGTCCTGATGTGGGACAGGGGAGCGGGAGAGAGAGGGGGAGAGGTGGCGAGCGGGGGCAGAGAAGAGGGAAGCAGGAAGAGGTTTGAACTAGTAGGGCAACGGGGTTGGAGGCTGGCCAGCCCTCGCTCATGTGGTCCTAATGGCAGCAGGAAAAAGCCGGGCCAGAGATGAGGGGAGGAGAATCAGGTACGGACGGGATGGTATGAAACCAGTGCAACCTGATTTGAAGAGACGCTAAGACGGGAGAAGGACGAGGAAACCATGACTACAACCATGTGAAGCCGCATTTGTAGAGAGGTTATTTTTGAGACGTCTCAAAAAGACGGGAGAAGGAGGAAACCATGATCACAACCATGTGAAGTCGCATATGAAGTAGACGACTTTTGAGACGTGTGGAGTCACGTGTAGACTTTTGAGACGTCTCAAAAGCCATGCGAAGTCCCATTTGAAGCAGCAAAGATGTGGAAAGAGGGCTTTCAAAGCGCGCGCCTCAAAAGCAGGGCAGTTGGTGAATACCAGTCTGGGTTACAATACTGGTGATACTCACTCTAGGAGCTGCAGCGAGCAGCAGGGAGGAGGGCGAGTATAGTAGGTCCATGCCACACACGTAGTGTGACCCGAGCAGGAGAGATTGGCGGGGCTGTGGTGAGTAAGGGGGGAGGGGAGATGGAAGAAGAAGGAGAAGCGGAAGTGGGGGATAAGCAGCAAGCAGGGAGGAGGGCGAGTATAGATGGTCCATGCCACACACGTAGTGTGACCCGAGCAGGAGAGATTGGCGGGGCTGTGGTGAGTAAGGGGGGAGGGGAGATGGAAGAAGAAGGAGAAGCGGAAGTGGGGGATAAGCAGCAAGCAGGGAGGAGGGCGAGTATAGATGGTCCATGCCACACACGTAGTGTGACCCGAGCAGGAGAGATTGGCAGGGCTGTGTGGAGTTGGGCCAGAAGGAAAGCACTGGAAGAAGAAGTAAGAGATAGGAAGCAAGGAGGGAGAAGGTGGAGCGAGCAGAGAAGGTCTATGCCATCTTCAGACATAATTCTCAGGGAGAAGGTGGAGCGAGCAAGAAGCGAGTATAGAAGGTCCATGCCACACATGTAGTGCGAACTGAGCCGGAGGGATTGGCGGGGCTGCATTAGGGAGGGGGCTTGTATCCCTTCACCCACCATCCCTTTACATACCTTGTTAGCCCACCTCTTCTTACCCCATCACCACACCCACCTTGCCATCACCCCCCCACATGATGAGACTCCCGTCCATGGCTGCACTCCACGTGGCCCCGCTGTTGCCGTCCACCCCCACTGCCAGGATGGTGTGCTGATGCCCGTGGAACGAGTCGAGTGGGACCAGCATGGCTGCGAGACAAGCACACAGGGGGCAGGGCATGCATGGGGATGAGACGGATGGAAGATGGAAGATGGAGTGTTGGTGTCCACTGCTGCCGTCCGCCCCCACTGCCAGGATGGTGTGCTGATGCCCGTGATACGAGTCGACAGGGACCAGCATGGCCGTGAGTATGGGGAGAAAAGCATGAACAAGGCGTGGAGATGGGTTGGAATGATTCTGTGTATGGCCGCTGTTGCCGTCCACCCCCACTGCCAGGATGGTGTGCTGATGCCCGTGGTACGAGTCGAGTGGGACCAGCATGGCTGATAGGAAGAGATGACGAGCACGGGAGGCAAACACAGGGGGCAGGGAGCAGCTTGGGTTGTTAGAGGGACCGGTGGTTGAGATGGAGATGAGATGGGCTGTATGGACCGGTGGGCGTGGGACCGGTGGGACCGAGGAGGAGAGGGGCTGTGTGGGATTGACTGATCTGTACTTGACTCGAAAATGACTGCTGAGTCACAAAGGAACATACTTGGGTTGTTAGACGGAACGGTGGACTGCGATGGAGAGGATTGCATGGGATCTGTTGCCCCGCTGCCCTTCACCTCACCACCTCCTCCTCCTGCTCCTCCTGCTCCTCCTGCTCCTGCTGCTAGTGCGGGTGGTGGTTGTGGCGCCACTGCTGCTGCTGGTGGTGGTGGTGCTGCTGCTGCTGCTGTTGCAGGGAGTGTGGAGGTGGAAGAGGAAGGGGAGGAGCCGGAAAGAAGCATCAGCTGCTGCCGAGCCTGCACCGACTGCTGCTGCAGCTGCTGTTGCACCTGCTGCAGTTGCTGTGGCGGCTGTGGTTGCTGCTGCTGCTGCTGCTGCGCCTGCTGTAGTTGCTGTGGTGGCGGTAACACCTGCTGCTGCTGGGAAGAGGCAGAGAGGTGCTGCAGTTGCTGCTGCACCTGCTGCATCTGCTGCTGTAGCTGCTGCTGTAACTGAAACATCTGCTGCTGCTGCTGCAGCTGGTGCTGCGGTGGCTGCTGCTGCTGCTGCTGTTGCTGCTGCTGTGCTTGCTGTTGCACTGCTTGCAACTGTGACTGCAGCAACTGCTGCTGCTGCAGCAGCTGCAACTGTAACTGCTGTTGCTGCTGCTGTTGTGGCTGCATCAGCTGTTCCCCCCCTCCTCCTCCTCCTGCTGTCGTTGCTCCTACCCCTCCCAAACCTGCCTGCCCCTGCCCCTGCCCCAGCCCCTGCGTTTGCATCTGATGGGTTGTTGACACAGGAGGGTTGAGGGGAGCAGGGGCGGTAACAGCCATAGGGGACTGTCTGGAAGGCTGGGCTAGGGGCAGGGGAGGCTGAGGCGGGGGGAGCGGGGGCTGAGAGGGAGGAAGGGGGGCGTGAGATGGGGGAAGGGGGGCGGAAAGGGGAGCAGGGGAGGATCCTGCTGCTGCCAGAGCGGCTGTAGCGGCAGCACCGGCAGAAAGTGCGGCTGTAGCAGGGGGAATGGCGGGAGGAGCGGCTGTAGCGGCAGGAGCAGGAGAGGTGGCGATTGGGTTGTCTGTCCAACCGAGGCTGTCCCTCACGTAATTGACATCGTAGCTGGATGGAGAGAGGGAGGATGGGAGGGGAGGATGGGAGGGGAGGATGGGAGGGGAGGATGGGAGCGGCAGAGGCGGTGGGTGTTGGTGAGATGGCACTAGTCAAGGCACGGCTGTCCGTCTCACATAACTGACGTGGTAGCTAGCTATTTTCCATGGGGAGGAGAGGCATGTTTGCCCCCCATACTCGATCGACCTACCTACCTACAAATGAGCTCACTACTGCAGCACACACCCCATTGCCTATGTTACTCCTGCCTTTGAGACCTCTCAGAGCTGTGCTAACCCAAATACCCATACCCCCCCTCACCCCCACCCCTTTTCTTCCCTCTCCCTCTCACCGGAAAGCCTCTTCCTTGAGTCCCAAAACTGCTTTCCGCAGCTCCTCCAGTTTTGAGTCGACTCAAAACACGATTCAACTCCTCCAGCTTGCCCGGGTGGGTCGCCCTGAGAGCCTTTCCACCCTTCCCTCTCGCCTCTCACCCACCATCTCTCCATTTCTCACCGGAAAGCCTCTTCCTTGAGTCCCAGGACTGCTTTCCTCAACTCCTCCATTTTTCCCGGGTCACCCTGAGCCACTAGCTGATTGGATGGGGAAGAAGGGAAGGGGTTGAGTACAAGGAAAGGGAGGGGCAGGAGGGCAGGCAGGTGGGCAGGTGGGCAGGTGGGCGTGTGGGCGGGTGGGCAGGTGGAGATGAGAGAAGCAAAGGGGGTGCCATTGCAGCAACTCTCGTTTCCTCCATCTTGCCCGGGTCGCCCTGAGCCACGAGCTGATTGGGAAAGGTGAGGGTTTGGACGAGGGTTGGTGGGTGGGCTTGGAAGGAGCACAAGGGGAGTCACTGCAACAGGTTCGTAACTCCTCCATTTTGCCCGGGTCGCCCTGAGCCACGAGCTGATTGGATGGGGAAAGGGCGTGTGTGGAATGGAACGAAAGGCAGGGCTGGGAATCTGGGTGACTTTTGACTCGACTCATCTTTTGACGCGCAAAAGTCACATGGAACGAAAGGCAGGGCTGGGAATCTGGGAAAGGCAGGGCTGGGAATCTGGGAAAGGCAGGGCTGGGAATCTGACTCATCTTTTGACGCGCCTCAGAAATCATATTGCCCGCATCGCCCTGAGCTGAGCCACCATCTGGTGGGGGGGGGGGAAAGGTGTGTGTGGAATCTAGGGGAAGGCACGGTTGAACCTTCTAATGCACCTCTCCTCCGCTCCTCCCCAGGCAGCAACTTTTGAGACGTCTCAGAAGTCTGATTGGATGGGGAAAGGCCGTGTGTGGAATGTAGGGGAAGGCACGGTTGAGCATGGTGACGGCAGCACAGAGCGGTTGTCTGGCTTGTCCGGCAAGCTTGCATAGCAGAGAGGGATGTTATCTCAAGGGCACATGGAGGGGTGTTAGTCTCACTCTCTAGCCTGCGGGGCGCAGAGCTCCACGGTTTTCCCCAGCATGGTGACAGCAGCACAGCAGTTGTCCGGCTTGTGCAGCATGCTTGCATAGCAGAGAGGGTTGCGACCTCAAGGGCACAAGGGCGCATGGGAGTCTTACCTGCCTGGGGAGCGCAGAGCTCAACGGTCTTCCCCGGCATGGTCACTGCGGCGCAGCGGTTGCCTGGTTTGCCCGGCTTGCATGGCGGTTCGTGGTTGTGTGGCTGTGCTGCTGCTGCTGCGAGCACATGGGATGAGGGAGTGTTAGTCTCACCTGGGGAGCGCAGAGCTCGACAGTCTTCCCCAGCATGGTCACTGCAGCACAGCGGTTGTCTGGCTTGCGCAGCAATGTGAGGATGGTGGTGACGGCGCCTGGAGGGGTTGCATATGTGGTGGGATGGTGGGAAGGAAGAGGAAGTGAGGTGACAGGGACGGGAAGTTGAGGCCTGATTGCAGTGCAGCGGTTGTCTGGCTTGCGCAGCAATGTGAGGATGGTGGTGACGGCACCTGGTGGGATTGCATTGCATACAGGTTGTTGTCTCTTGCAAGAGACAAGCCTTGACAAGCTTCGATGGGGTGGTATATCATGCAGGCAGTTTCTCGTGTCAACTGCGTGGCATACCACCATCCATCAGGATATAGTCCGCAATCACGCCAACTCACCCTGAATGCCAGCTCACCTTGAATGCCAGCTCACCTTGAATGCCAGCTCACCTTGAATGCCAGCTCACCCTGAATGCCAGCTCACCCTGAATGGAGACAAACTCGAGGTGCACGAGGGCGGCAAACGCCTCAGCATGGACAAAGAACTCCGCCCGGCTGGCGTCGGGCGGCCGCTTTATCGTCAGGAACTTGAGGATCTGTGGATTGCGTTTGTGGCAGATGAGGAAGAGGATATAGGCGTCAACATTCAAGGTACATATTCCATGTTTGGAACAAGAGAATTCGTGACTTGCTGGCAGCATAATGTGTCACTTTTGAGAATTCCCAAAGGTGACCCAAGCATAGTGGCTGTCAGCATGACACGGAACTGGACAGCACCCACCAGCACGTACCTTGGGGATAAGCGTGTGACCTTTGTAGCATCAGGTAACCTGCTGGCCACGCACGTATGTGCGTGTATGTACTCTCTATACACTCTGTAGTGTACAGCACCCACTAGCACCCACCAGCCCCTACCTTGGGGATAAGCGTGTCTCTCATCTTGACCTTTGCCGTGTCGGGTAACCTGCCAGCCACACAAAGACAGGCAGGCAGAAGGGGAATGAAGCACGGTAGCACACCGTGGTGCTGGCCGATAAGCAGGAACTCACCTGCTTTCGCAGCAGAAAATTACTACTTTTTGAATTACACAAGATCATCATTTTGAGGGTGCGTGCACACAGCATCAGCATGCATGTGTGCTCTAGGTGGTTAGTATCTATCAGAGAGAACGCTCACTCACACACTCACCGCACTAAGCGCGCTCACCATGGCACGGGGCGCATGAAGGGCACGACGCTGAGCTTCTGAGCGAGCAGGTTCGTCTCAAACACCACGTGCAGGAACGCTGCCACACTCACCGCACTGCACTCACTCACCGCACACTCTCACCCCACTCACACACTTACCTGGGCACTAGACGCATGAAGGGCACGACGCTGAGCTTCTGAGCGAGCGTGCAGGCATACATGCATGCATCTACTGGTGACTGGTTGTCCTTAGGAGATAGAGTAACCCCTCACTCACTCACTCCCACACTCACCGTGGCACGAGGCGCATGAAGGGAACAACACTAATCTTCTGAGCAAGCAGGTGGAGGAATGCTGCCACACTCACCGCACTGCACTCACTCACCGCACACTCTCACCCCACTAACGCACTTACCTGGGCACTAGACGCATGAAGGGCACAACGCTGATCTTCTGAGCCAGCAGGTCTGTTTCAAACACCACGTGCAGGAACGCTGCCACGAACGCATCCAGGGGGTCCTGTGGGGCGGTGGTAACCAGACAGGCAGAGTTTTGGGTTTTGCATTGAATTGAAGCACATGTGAGTTTTTGTGTCAAACACCACGTGCAGGAATGCCATGACAGAAGCATCCAGGGGTCTTGTGGTAACCAGGCATGCAATATTTGAGGCAGAGTATTTAAAGGCAGAGTTCAGAATTTGAAGGTTTAAGGTTACTAGTTGAAGCAATAATGAATGGTGGAGATCAGATCTCAGTCACCGAGTTGGGGGATTCTGTGATTCTGGGTTTGGGGTTGAAGCATTGAATGCTGCAACGAAAGTGTAGAAGGAATGGGACAACACGCAAACGCATGGGGGATGTAATTGATGCCTCCCGTTATAATCACAAGCACAAACCTCATTGGCCTTCGCCCCATCCGCGGCCCCTTCTTTCTCTTCCCCGTTTCCGCTTCCGCTCTTGCTCCCGCCCCCACTTCCCCGCGCGCCCCCTTTCTCCCCCGATTCCCCCACTCCTGCGCCTTCCCCCAGCAGCGTGCGCACGTCCCGCGCAACCGAATCAAGTTCCGCGGGGTCGCGCAGGCGCGCAATCAGCGCCTCGAACACGGGGCGCAAATTGCGCGCGCGCACATCGTCCGCAATTGCCCTGGCCAGGGTGGGTGCGCGGGGGAGTCCGGGGGAAGATGGGCGGGGATATGGTCAAACGGAGGAGGCGTAGTTGTCATGCCACTGCGCGCCAAGCCGCGGAGGAAAGGGGGCGGGTGGAAATGGGGACAGGCACGCGGGGAAGGTGCGAAATGACGCATTGGCGTGCCAAATGCTCTGGCGCTACAAGGTGGTGGCTCGTGCTGCCACGTGTTGGATGCGTGCGCTGCCTCGTGGCATCACTCACCTGAGGGCGCTGAATAGATGCGTCGCGAGAGTAATCTCCTCCGCACTCACATCCACCTCTATCACTATCCTCATCTTGCCCCTCGGTAATGTCACTACTGGGAGACCCACACGGACCGCAGCTACTACCCAAATCAGACAATGTTTCGAAAATAAGATGTCCTCAGCGACCGCAGCAGGCAACCATTGCAGTAATTGCTTTTATGACCTAGCTGCAATGCAAAAGTTGATCAGCCACAGAAGCTAAGTGGGGCGATAGAAGCAGCAAATTAGCTGTGGTTTTGCCACTTGTTTGCCTAGGGGGGTGCTTGACATTATCTGGCTCAATTGAGTGCACTTCGTTACAAGACAAACTGTTCCTACACTTTGATGAACGTATGCTTGCGTCTTTGCAATGACTGTATTTTGTTCCAAGCTGCTTGGCATGACGTGGGTGATGAGCAGGATGTTACTGGTGGATAACATCGCCAGCCGCATGGCATGCAGCCATTGGTGTTTATCCGCACGCGATAGCACGTGGTAGCTGGATTCACTCGGCCGCATGCGATATTTCCGTCCAATCCGTGGCGGACTTTGGCACGAGTCGCATTTAAAAGGCATGTGGCAGGGCAACCCCTTTCTTTTACTTTTCCACGATATGTATCTGGGAAGCAGGATATGTCTTATTGAACAACTTATAAGCTCTATATTCCTCTGCACCAACTTTCCACACGAAAAATTAACAAAATTATGCCAGAAAATTCTTTATTCGGGAAACTAAAATAATAATCCCTGAGGTTCACGTCGACATGCAGCCCTGTTTCCAAGGTTCCCCTGCCTTGAGAAAAGGCGGGAACGAGATCTGCGTCAGCCAATCGGCAAATACTGCGACCTCCGCCACCTCCTCCTTTCCCCTCCCCCTCCCCGCACCTCCCCAGCCTCTCCCCTCCTCCCCGCGCTTTTCCCATCGCTTCCCGATTGTCTGTATGTCTGACCAGATGTCGGTCGAGGGCGTGGTGAGAGCCAGTTTCTCTCGGAAACCCATCGAACCGTTCTATCTTTGACATAGCATGTCTTCAAACGCAGGAAAACCGACTCAACCGCACTGAAGTAGAGGCTTATGACACACAAGAGGAAGCAGACTCGAGCAGTAAGCAGAAATTGCAGAATCTAATAAAGACAGGTTGCCAGTGACCAGCATCTAGAATTTTCTGCTTCTGGCATTGTGCTGGTTTCTGCATTGCTTGGCATAGGGCAATTAGAGGCATTGCTCTGGTGCGATTTCTTTTCTACCGTGAGACTCTATAATTCCCGTGCTATTTGCTTGACTCGCCATGGCTACGTTACGCGTTGCGTCGTCCGGAACAGCTGCAGTCGGAGTATCACCATGTGCAGTTTCAACGACCAAGCAACAGCACGCTCAAATCTCCTTCCTAAGCACGGTGAAAAATGCTCCGCTAAGAGCAGCTTCTTATCGAAGCGTAAAAGCTATCCCCTCGCGAGCAGTGCGACCCACAGCAGCCTTCTCGGATAATTCTTCTTCCATCTCGCCGCATCGCCATTCGCTCTTACGCTCGGAAGCAGCGATCGAGAATCGTGAGGCTTGGTGCAGCAAGCGAGCAGCGGTTGTGTCGCGGAGCGGCGATGGCGAAACGGCGGAAGCAGGCGATGCGAAGAGCCAGCTGACGAAAACGATTCAGCTGGGATCGCTGTTCGGGCTGTGGTATCTCTTTAACATCTACTTCAACATTTACAACAAGCAGGTATGGCCTGTCGCGAAATTGTGCCTAATGTCGTTCACAGCAAGATCTAATTGAGGGAATGTGTTATCTGTTTCCCTTCACAACACTTTCCCGTGCTTCAATCACTCACGATTCTTACATCCGTTGATCTGACATCTTCACGAACCGATGAATTTCATTGTCAATCCAAAGATGTGAAATTGTGGTAATTGCAGACGAAAAGGCTGGATGCAGATTAAGGTTCTGAAATTGCGCCGAAAGCAGTCAAGCTTCACAATTTTGTCGCCTGTCGGTCCCTGTACGAATGTTTTACTCTAGCAATTTCAGTGGCGCCCGTGGTTACACGACATTCTCCGTTTCTGCGTCTCTTTTATCCCTGGTCTTACCGTGCCTCCCTCATCTACAAGCTGTGAATTCCGTGCCAGGCCACCTTACCGTTTCTTTCTCCAATGCACGTGCTCAAGGTGTTCCGTACCGGCTTACAATCACAACTGTGCAATCCGGAAAATTAAATTTCATTAATTTAATAATGTGCCGCGTTTCTCCTCCCGTGCAGGTGCTCAAGGTGTTCCCGTACCCGCTCACCATCACGACGGTGCAATTCGCCATCGGCGCCATCGTGGTGCTGCTGTCGTGGGCCACCAACATCGTCAAACGGCCCACAATTTCCAAGGCGCAGGTGAGACAGGCGCGCACGGGAATGAGGCGATCTCAGGGTGGGTTTGAAAGGCACGGCGATCGTGGTGCTGCTGTCGTGGGCCACCAACATCGTCAAGCGCCCCGCCATCTCTAAGGCACAGGTGAGACAGTCGCACCGGGGAGAGAGGCGACCTTTGGTTTGATCCAAAGGTCACGGCGATCGTGGTGCTGCTGTCGTGGGCCACCAACATCGTCAAGAGGCCCACCATTTCCAAGGCGCAGGTGAGAACACGCCTCCTCAACCCCTTTCTTTTCACCTCATCGTCCCGTCTGCTTCCGTGCCAGTTCCATCTTTCCCGCTATTCCACTCCCCCTTCATTTCCCTACCTCGTGCACACCATGAGCAACGCGTTTACCAACGCCAGCCTGGGCAAGGTGGCCGTGTCGTTCACTCATCTTCCATCCCCACCACCACCCTCTGCACTCCATACACCCTCTCTTGGCTTCTTGATCCCCCTACTCCCCAGCCCCTGGCGATTCTCCCCCTGGCCCTCGTGCACACCATGGGCAACGAGTTCACCAGTCTGGGCAAGGTGGCGGTGTTGTTCACTCAAACCCATCACCCCACCACCCTATACATCCCATGCACCCCCTCTTGGTCTCTTGACCCCTATGCACCCCATGCAGCTCCTAGCGATCCTGCCTCTGGCTCTCGTGCACACCATGGGCAACGCGTTCACCAACGTCAGTCTGGGCAAGGTGGCCGTGTCGTTCACGCACACCATCAAGGCGCTCGAGCCATTCTTCTCTGTTACCCTTTCTGCCCTTCTGCTGGGCGAGGTGAGTCGCTGGAGAGGGGAGGCGAAGGGAAGTGAGCAAGGATGAGTGGAGGCAGGGGCAACGTGGCTGGGCAAGGTGGCAAGGTGGCCGTGTCGTTCACGCACACCATCAAGGCGCTCGAGCCCTTCTTCTCCGTCACCCTTTCTGCTCTTCTCCTTGGCGAGGTATGTCACGGGCCGAGGGGAGGCAGGATGGGGTAAGGGTCGAGTGTGGGCAAGGTGCTGCCAAGGTGGCCGTGTCGTTCACGCACACCATCAAGGCGCTCGAGCCATTCTTCTCCGTCACGCTTTCCGCGCTGCTGCTGGGAGAGGTGAGACTCAGACCTTGAGGAGGTGGAGGTAAGTGAGCAAGGATGGGGTGAGGAGGTCTAGGTGAGGAGGTTTGGGCGAGTGTGGGTTGTCTGGGCGAGTGTGTGCAAGGTGGCGGTGGTGTCGTTCATGTTTTTTGAGAATTCTCAAAAAAGGTGGCGGTGGTGTCGTTCACGCACACCATCAAGGCGCTCGAGCCATTCTTCTCCGTTACCCTGTCTGCTCTCCTGCTGGGGGAGGCGAGTCGCTGGAGGGGGGGAGGCGAAGGGAATTGAGCAAGGATGCGCGAGTGTGGGCAAGGTGGCAAGGCAGCTGTGTCGTTCACGCACACCATCAGGGCGCTCGAGCCATTCTTCTCTGCCACGCTCACCGCGCTGCTGCCGGGCGAGGTGAGTCTCAGGGCGAGGGTATGAGGAGGAGGGGGAGAGCGGGGGAGAAGCGTGGGCGGAAGGGAGGAAGGGGAAGCTGGGGGGGGAGGACATTCCCAGAATACCTGCCACGTGGGCATTTCTGTACAGTACAACGGATCCCTGACATTTGTACCCGATATAGGCTCTCTTTGGGGGTAAGGGGGCGTTGCTTTTGAGTAATCCCAGTTGATCTAGGCGTGTGCTGTATTCTCCTGGTTACGCTCATGCCCATCGTGGGAGACGTGGCCCTTTTCGTTCCCACCCACACCTTCAAGCCTCCTTTTACCCCTCCTTACTCCTCCTCCCCACCCCTCCAGCAATCCACCCACGCTGCCTGTCATCCTCGCCCTCATTCCCATTATGGGAGACGTGGAGTGGCACGTAGAGTTCTCAACCGTCTCAAACCTCCCTTTACCCCTCCCCACTCCTCCCCACTCCTGTTCACACCCCCTCCAGCAACCCACGCTGCCGGTTATCCTCGCCCTCATGCCAATCGTGGGAGGCGTGGCGCTCGCCTCTGCCACCGAAGCTTCCTTCAACTGGTGTGTGCAGTGACGTGCTTTGCTGTTTCCTGTCATGCAAAACTGTCCCATGCTCGTCTGTGCCATGCCACAATATAAAAAAATGCAGACTCATGGCATGCCATACCATTCCATGCTCATTCCATTGACGTGCCACGTTGTTCTAAAACGCCTTCCCATCCTCGTGGTCAACCTCTGGTGTATTGCAACATCTAACTGTATGTTTTTCTTAGGTGCCTGAAAAGTTGTCTCTGGTGTATTGCATCTAACATCTAATGGATGCTTTCCATCCATTCGCTTACCTTCCAATCTGCTGTATCCGTATCAACCCTTTTGCCCCCTTCTGCACCCCTTTGGCCCCTTCCGCACCCCATTGCCCCTTTCTGCACCCCTTTGCGTCTGTCTGCATGCAGGGCGGGCTTCCTGTCGGCCATGGCGTCCAACCTCACCTTCCAGTCGCGCAACGTGCTCAGCAAGAAGCTCATGATCAAGAAAGACGTGAGAACCCCCATCACACCCTTGCCTCCCTGCACCCTCTCCCCCTTTTTCCGCCACCCTCTTAACCCTCACATCATTCTCTTCTCAACCATCACCCACTTCTCAATCTTCTTGCTTTTCCCCACCTTCCCTTCTAGC